TGATATTATCGAGGCCAACGCTTCAGATTGCAGCGTGGCGTAATTACACTTACGCGAGAGGTAACAATCAGAATACTACAACAGAGCTTGTAGCTGCAAATTGTCCGACTCCGGCACGTATCATCGCCTCGTTAGGATTAACGATTTATGGGCAACTTTTTGTAAACATTGTTTTCTTATTAATTCATCATGTCGATGCGGTACGCACGATGTAGATAAAGACATCACTTTTACTATAAAGTGGTGGCTTAAAAACACATATCATGACGATAAAAGTACTGTCCGATAAAAGTAAATTGATTAACGATAACGAAGAAGAGAAATAACGAGAAGAAAAGGAATTCAAAGTCGCAACTCGACAATGAAGTTCCTTCCTCACAGCTGAGGGCTTGGCAGTAATTATTTGAATGAGCCGTCTCTCGAAACACGACGCAAGAGTAACTGCACTCGGAACTTCGGTAGATGATTGTTTAAACCATTTATTATACGCTTAATGATTAAACAATATTCCAGACGACGTAGTTACAGAGATATTTAGTGTTTACTTGAAATCGCGCGTCGAGCGATCGATCCTCTTTCGCAGCATTGTCCAGTCATTAACAAGTGTCTCTTAGTCTACGGGAGAAGCCGCTCTGCGCAGATTTTCACACATCAGCGAGAACTCTTCATTTAACGGTGCTGGATGGTGCGTTCGTTGAGTGCCATTCGCAGTACGGGATTATTCCCGTCGAAAATGTGCACGATATACGGCCACCAGGGACGCCTATTGCAGGATAATGAATTAATGGAGGACAGAGGTAAATGAAACAAGTATTTAAGCCCGCCGCACCACCGACTGCCGGATACGCCTCTTTTCTATGCTCTTCATTTGCCGACAGGTAGAAATATGTACTCGTCGAGACCATTACCTATACCTCGCCATTCCCAATCCTCCTGATAATTAAACGCAGTGCGTTTGATCGTTCACCTAATTGCACTAGTTGTCTGACAGAACGGTGTACTCTCTAAAGTACAATCGGCGTATTCCTCACTGAAATGCTCTATCTGTAACTTGTAGTTCAATCAAAAGTGTAGTACTCCAATGAATAAAGTTTCGCTGAAAGGATCAATTGATAGTAGCGACTATTTCCATGCATTTTGCAAACACAGCGCAATGGCATGCCGTCATTGTATGCAGGGTGCATAGAAACCGTCAATCCCGTTGATACAAATGTAGAAAGTTGGAGATTTGTTGTAACGAATTTACGTATTCCGAATTTTGCATTAAAATCTCACTGAAATTTCATTGGCTAAAATCAATGAGATGTAAGACAGAGCAGTAAAGTGCGAGTGTTTCCATTGAAAATTAGTGAACGCTCACCGATTTTCGTTCTGGATATTGATCCATTCAATTTTTACCGATTCACTTTAAGAGAGTAAACCATAAAAGAATAAATTACTAGAAAACGAGAACCGTCGTCCCGCTTTTTATCTGTCCATAGGTCCGCTGGAGGTCGGAATAGTCGGAGGATTCTGCTTTTCAGCAAAATGCCAAAAAAGATATCAATCATCACGAGCGAACAGCGACACTACTCACCGGTATCGGTAGCACTTCTATTTTGCGACACAGATCTACTAGATCGAAACGATCTAGCGCGGATTTTGTTTCTCGGTAAAACGTGCAAAAAAACAGGGGAAAGCAAAAAAAGTAGCAATCATCAAAAACGGGCAACGGCATGATCGTGTCAGCCTGCTGCCGCCGCTGTCGCTGTCGCTGTCGCTACTGCTTCGACAGCGAATAAATCCAGCGCGACATATTTTCCACGATATTTCACCACTGAAATACCGGACAAAAGCGAAAGCGTGCGCAAGTGAGGAAGGGTAAAAAAAAAAAAACAAAACTTGGGCGGAAATCGCGACTAGAACGTAGCGTAGAACTGATACTCTCAATGAATCTCACCGTGTCAAGATGCGCTTCGTATCGCCTCTCCCTCATGCTTTCTTATAGTTTCGTTCTTTTGCTGTTGTTCATTTTTTGTTTCCTATAGAATTTATTAATATGAGAAATCCTTCCGCCACCTGTTCCTATTCCCAGCACGACGCCCCAAGGTTAAACGCGACCATCGCGCTGCATGCACGATGATGCACCGAATCCGCAGGGAAATGTTCCTTGCAACTCGCGCCACGGAACACGATCTCTCGTGAACGCCGGGTATAACTAATTTCGACGTTATAAACAAGGTCAGCGGCGCAGCGACGGAGGATAATATCGTTAGGCCGCGCTGCATCACGCCAGGATTATCGCGATTAATTATGTGCGCCGGCTACGTAGACCGAGTATACAGGATTATTCTGTGCGTATGTGTCACTTACATTCGGATGCAGGTTGAATATATCGCAGTCGATAGCAACGATGAAAATTGTGCAACTATCGGAAATCACACCTTTTTTAATGGCTTAACCCCAGGCAAGACCCGGAAGGGTGGTTATTTCACCCTGTATCTTCTCTCACCCCGTGGAACATTATAACTTGCCTGTTGTTGCTTTTCCGAGAAAACATCTCGCCCGCAAAATTTTAGTTTCAAATTATATCTCTGCATTTAGATAAGTTCTGACCTTTGATCAAATAAAATGTATGATGTTCCCAAGAGTTAATCGAGTTAACAATGCATAAGAGAAATTTCGATAATTTTTACCGTATCGTATTCGAGATATTTCATTTTAAATTTGTATTATACAGGCATATGTTGAACCGTTATATAATATAATTTTTTTTATAATTTAGTACGTTTAGTATATTTGCAAAGAAAAATATTAAAAAATCTGATATAATAATAAAATAAACTTTGAAACATATTTTAATAAAATATATAATAAAATATCTTATAAATTTACTATACTAGGTTAAAGAAATATAGAATTTTATATGAAAAATTCGTGAAATCGATAATATATAAATAGAAACGTGGCAATATCACATACGTGACAAGTTAGCGCTAGCTCTGAAATAATCTCATAATATCATAATGTCGTTTATATATTTATTATTTATTTTAACGTAACAACTATATATTTCCAATTAAAATTAAATAAAACTGATCATTTATCAACTACAATGACGAATATATTTCATGTTCATATTACATTTTTTACAATTAATATTGATGTCAAATGAGTGTCTTACAACTTTTATTTTGTTACTTTTGAAATATTTGATAATTTTATAAATAAAAAACAATTTTTGTTGCCATAGGAAACAAAAAACATTATGACACTTACTAATTTTATCTCACTAATATTATTGCAAACTTATTAAATAATTTGCAAAATTTAATTTTTTCGCAATTTAAAAAATTAAAATTAAATTAATATTAAATTAAATTAATTTAAAAATTTTTAATTATTTGTTTAATATAATTTTAAATAATTTCTTTTTTGTAAGATACTGATTGACTGAAGAATGGCGTTAGAATCTCGTTAATTTCATTCTCAAACGTGATTTTTCTATGTCGTGATATAAAAATGTAAAAGCAGAATTTACGTTTTGATTATCACTGCGTAGAGTGTAAAACATTATTGACTCGTTAATAGAAATCCAAAGAAATTTATGTGTACCCAAAATTGACCATATTGCTTTTTAAGTTCCCGTCAACAAACTCAAATGTATCCCTGAAACACGCAAGATTGCGGAAAGTTCATAAAACCAGTTAATTAATTCTTTTCCTTCAGCGACAGTCGCAGACTCAAGTTGGCTTGCGTTGCGCGGAACTTTTGGGTGGAGGCTATGCATTAAATTCGGTGATTCCGGCAGACTGTAGTTTACCGTCAGCTTTAGAGTGAACTTTCGAAAACACGCAATATTATACTTCGCAACTTCGTCGGCGGGGCTACGCCCTGTTCTTCCGCGCGTACTCGCGCACCTCATAATTTTTCATCGCGCACATCGCGATGGTGCGACGACAGGCGATAATCAAGATTAACAAGTTCGAAACTCTGTAATTTGTCAGTGTCGGTACTTACGCGCGGCGGAGGCGGAGGCGGAGGCGGCGGCGGCGGCGGCGGCGGCAGTAGCGGATTATCGACAGCGCTTGCACTTTCAATCGGTTGCGTGCGTGCAAGGTTAGAGCTTCAGGTCGCGCAAGGTCGCGCATGCAGACATTACGGAAAGTTATGCCGGAGAAGTGGCGGCGCAGCGGCTCGGAAATACTGTCGTTAACCGTGACACTCGTCGTAGACCGATTGTACAATTATCGTTTCATTACCGGGAAAGTGCGCGCTCTCGCACGTAACGTCGATCACTTCGGATGGACCGCTTGAAAGTACGCGCGATCCGTCGTCTTGATCGAAGAAACTCCCACGGATATTCGAATAAGGAGCATTCCTTGCTCGCATCTCGGGGAGCCGTGCAAAACGACAAGATGAATATCGGGTGCCCTAGTGTCTCGATTAATCGTGGCTGCGCGAAGTGAGCGACACGCGGTTACTCCGCGCTTCTTATCGCCGTTAATTACGTAGAACGTTAATCACTTAATCCGCTCGCATCGTCTTCGAATCGTCTGGAAGACACTCGAGTTGATGGGATTTGCACGTCTGCAAATACTTTGAATGTGAAATTCTGTGATAGAAATCGAAAGACAAATAAGATATTTACGCTCAATAATATTTGCAATAAGGATTTTCGGTCAAGAACTTCAACACAAGCATCTTCAAACTTTTAAGGCATTCCATTCAAGTAAAAATTTTTTCTTCACGAAATAGTCTTCAACGATACTGATGAACAATTTTGCGACCCGAATAAAATTGACCGCCGAAAAGTACAATTTCCGAAATGTACATAATTATATATACACAGAAAAAGATTAACATCCATTTAAACCTAATATACTCAAATTAATAATCATTGTTTCATATATAAGCAACGATATAATTTTGACATAAAAAAATTGTAAAATCTTGAATTTTTTTAACAAAGTTATTATTTTATTTGAATGTTATAATTGTCTCACATATAAGAAATACAATTATTTTAATAATAATGACATTTTCTTCCAATATTTAGAAACGTTATATTTTTAATCCAAAATTTTGTGCTTCTTATACGTGAAAATTATTTTTGAATAATAAGAATATATTTTTCTTTGTTGAATCGTATAATATGTATTGATAGAAGTAATTTATCTTCATTTAACGCTGTGTAACTTCATTTTAAAATTCACATATCAGAAATAAAGATATTTTTGAAAGAAACCAAAATATTTCTTTTTATATTCACATATTTGCATGTATATATTCTACCCCTACAAAATTTAATAAATCTCGCAACTATAATAAAGAACATAAAAGCGCAAACTTTTTACGTTAAGATAACATGTATAAAAAATTGAAAAAATAAGATTTGCTTACTTTTTCTTGTGAAAAGCTTTACACAATTTCAAGCGTTAATGATTCTGCTCTGCGCACGATCGCTATTTTTCTTTTCAGCAAAACAATTATTATTTCACAAGTTGGAGATAAAAAATATTATTCTACGTGGGATAAATTAATAGCATTATATCAATCGAATCATTACTTTGTCAATACAAGAAATTTGAGAAGGATCAACTAAAAAGTTAATATACGTAATTATGCACACTGGATTTTAAAAGATTAATATAAAAACAGCCAAATATTCGATTAACCGCTTCATAAGCAAAAGTACCGCCTGAATAAACAAATTCTCTACTCGGACGCGAACTTCGGATTAATTTTGCAAAAAATGCTTTTTACTTACCGATGCGAGCGGTTTAAGCCGTAGTCTCTTAGACTAACTCTCAACGAGTGTTTAATTACAAAAGAATCTTGGCACGATAGTTTCGCATCTCGCGCGGGCGCGACAACGCTTGTCTGTGTGTGCGCGCGCACGTGCGGCCGTCGAGCGTCCTTCTACACAGAGAGTGTTTGGTAAATTCATGCTCACTTTATTTAGTCTAGATATTACTATCACTCGTGTCCGTCACCGTCCATAGTGCCTCTCTTGAGTCGATATCTCGGGTGGAGGGTGAAAATTCAACAGCGAACTTTCGTTTGAACGACTTTCCTCTCGATAAGCGTTTGGAAATCTCGCCAATGAAGTATCTTTAGGCCGCGGCGGAAGCAGATGTCGCTTTCGCCGCTTCTCCTTCACACACCGTGCTCATCACATCTGCGAATCGAACAAAGCATCCTGTGAGTGACACACGACGCGTCGACCGCATCATCTCTTCTTGTCGTCGTTTCAATGCACCGTCGAGGCGATCGCTGATGTTCACGCAAGTTCGACGGCGCCGACAGTTCCGATCCGCGCGTTATCAATCACTTACTTTCACGGAGAGCTGCAGCCGGGATGTGCACTCGTTGAGTATCTGCATCGTGCGCGTGATTTTTGGTTTTTCTCTTTCTGTCTATATCGGTTTAAATTTAACACTTAATCGCACACCTACCCACCCATCCGCATTGTTCGACGAAGTGGCGGCGCAAACCATCAGAGAGGCACCTGTCTCCAACGACTTCTCCAGTCACACGCAGCGTTACATATTCACGCGCACGGAAGTTGCCGTCGAAGTCACACGGACCCGTCGATGTATCTCATATCAGTCGCTAGATTGATGAGTTTGTCTTCACATCCGCGCTAACGTCAAATTTTTCCCATTCAGCACGCGAGTCACACATGCACACACGCATACATATACGCACACACATACGACCGATCGTCGAACACGATCTCTCGTGGAGGAGTTGAGCCGACGACGACACACTGCCGTCGCCATCCGCTTGTGCATTACGGCCTAATATTCCTCGTTCCAACATGTGACACGGAATGTAACACGATCGATCGACGGAAGAATGGATGATATACGCGAGCCATCTCGAAGTCACCCGATGGCATTTTATTCTAGAACGACGCGCTGAGCTTTTTCGGCCGGAAGCTCGGTCGTTGGTTCGCTCGGCTGAAGACGCGAACAGGTGAGCCATTATACTCCCCGCTATATCGTTCTTCGTCCGGTTGAGCAACGACGTCGCCTGATTACCGGAGAGTTCCAGTGGACGCACAGACTGATCGAGCGATCAATTCGTCAGCAACCTCGTGGCTTCGGCACACGACGACATTATCTCACGCTCTTCGTATTAGCATGCTACGTTGTTACATATCTCCACATCGAACTGTAATTAAACACGGAATCGATCAAGTGGCAGTTCAACGGCGCAAATAATCACAACTGACCTTTCGATGCCACTCTGCCGGGCACCGAGAGCGCGTTTAGTCGTTCTGGATAAGCAGTATCAATCAATCACACCCGATCCCGCGGCCCTCGCGTTGTCCTCGGTCTCGTTAACGACGATGGATCTTCACGATTGGAAGCACCACGATACGACCGCGCTTCAAGTTTTGCTACGAATTTTTCCAGCGCACTCGCGCACGATTTCCGCGGTATGAGTCGCGCGAGCACGATTAATGACAATAATTACACAATTCCGCTAACACCTCAGATTAACCCTCGTGTCCCTTACACTCACGCACGTCACAAGCTCCAGTTCGTCTGCAGCGCCAGCTTGAGCGTGACGAACATGGTCAACAGCGCAGTGCAAGCCATCATCGACGGCGAGGTCGCCATGCTGTGCTGCATGGCGGCCGGATTGTCGCCCTTGAACACGTGCACCAAGACACGGCCCGGCTGGGCATTGCTGGCCTTGCAGGTGTAGTTACCAGAGTGGCGATCCGACGCTCTTGGCACTTCCAACCAGCTCTCCCTGCCGGCGAGGTCGGTGCTCACGTTGACGCCTTGCTCGACGTCGTAGTTGATCATACGTAAGTTATGATACCAGAAGAGGTACGACGGCACCTCGGTCGACTGCTTCACGAGGCAGTGCAGCTGTAGCGTACTGCCGGGCCTCACGAATTTCTCCGCTGGGCCGGCTATCTCCGCTTTGGCTTCTGCAAATGGCCGAACGTGACACGTGAGACGTGAGCCGCTTATACTCCGGGACGTCGTATTGTTTACTATGAGCGTGAGAGCCCGTCCGGGTCGGGAAAAGGGAATAGCTCGCTGCGCGGGAGCGACAGGATCTCGGGCACGTCGCGCCAGGGTTTCTCAAACCGTCTCGCCGCCGAGAGAGAGAGAGAGAGAGAGAGAGAGAGAGAGAGAGAGAGAGAGAGAGAGAGGGAGGGAGAGAGGGAGAGAGAGGGAGAGGTCGCGACTGCCACAGCGGCCGATTACCTTAAACAGATGCTCGCGATTACGTTCAGGGAATGAAGCCCATTCAAATTGTCGTCGCGAGACGACGAGCCGAGTAAGACACGTTATTACCAGCGAAGCTTGACAGAGCGACGCGACTCGTTCGAGAAATCTGAATTGGTTGTTCCATTTTGCATTCTACTTTCATTTTAACCCCAACCGGTCCATCTCCCTTCCCCCATTTTCTCTACTCCGTGTCAAGTAGTCGCGTAAACAAACGTATCGGGTTCGTTATCTCGCAATTTATTAATATCAGCAATTCAGTGTTTCTCCAATGAAGGATCTCTCAGTGATATTTGGCCTATCAGATTTGGCTAATAGGCAATCAATGTAATATGAAATTGATACAACGGTGTGATTTATCGGGAACGATGATATAACGTTTTATCCAATAATATCAATATTATAATTAATGTGTGTGATATGCATATATATGCATGTGCTTGTATGTATGGATGTGTGGGGAAAAGGACATGCGCGCGCGCACATGTTTGAAAGCGATACTCATATGAAAGCGGACCAATTGCATAATTAACTTTTCATCTGAAGCAGCAAATCTGCATGTTACTATTTCCATTAACCGACTACCAATTTCGTCCGGAGCATTCTGATATAATGGATATCGAGAGAATCGAAATATATTGTCGATCATGCCTTCGATGTGTAATATTTCACACTGCCCGGAAATAGATATATTAATCATTTACTCCAACAGGAAACTTCCAAATATGTATGAGAGAAGAGTGGGTACTCGTTGGAGATCGGGGCTAAATGCTACATTTTTCGGAATGTCAAATTTACTACTTTTCAGCCGATCAATTGTTGTGACCGACTGTACAAACATGATAGAGACAATCTTCCTCTATGCGTTTATATGCCCGCAATAATCCTGTAAGCCGTATAGTTTGTTCTATAATAACCAAAATGGTAATGGAGGGGTAAATTGCAGAGGCAAATTGCAGGAGTAAAAGTCCTGGTAAATTGGCTATCAGCCCGGGGTAAAAAGGCCACATGTAAAATATGTATCTTGATTAGTAGTTCCGGGATCCCCACGGTCCATCCCGCTGACTCTTAATTATGAACTAACGCTACCTCATCCGTCGATATACTCGATTTCAGTCATTTCATGAATGAAAATTGCTTTTATGATCCGAATCATAAAAGCATACACTTTCAAGAAACTTTAACACATCACACTTAGGTTTACTCATTCACGATGTAGAATATTAATAAAAGAGAAAACGGCTGTTCTTGCATAAGTTACTTTTTTCAATTTTTTAACTATAATATTGTTCTGATTTTAATGAAAAACTCAGGGAAAAGTATATATGTGTGTTCTAAAAAAAAACATTTTGTAGTTTTATTTCCATTGTTCCTATCACGATAAATATATAAGCAAAGGACTAAACACTTTGGTCCAACGCTTTGAACCAACTAGACTCAGTCTCTCCTATTCCTTCTTGTAAGTCTCAAAAATATTAAAAAGACTTGCAATTTTACTAATCTAAAGAAATTCTTCTATCGAAAACTCCGCCGCTTTCTGTCGATTCGACCAATTCGTTTTCAATTGCAATGAATTATTCGACAAGAAACGAATCTCTCGCGATAATTAATTCCAGGAACAATTCACTCTCTCGCACACAGACGCGCGCGCGCACATACATTGAGTAAACTGTCTATTAATTAAGTATTCAATTAGACCGTGTTCTATTATATAGAACAGTATGCACTGTGGTTATAATCACATCACATGTGATTAATGTTAGTATTCATAGAAATTCTAATTCATCGGCGACTTTACATCGAGCGGCGACTACATTAACTATGTTATTTCTGCTTGTACCGCGTAAAAAGAGCGCTTTCACTCAAATATACAAACAGCGTATAATTATTCACTATATACACGTGGAGTTTGCTCTATTGGCTATATTTATCAATTACTATTAGATGTAACAATCTGATATTTCCTAAAA